TGAGGTCAATCGGACGTGATTTGATGGGTTTTGGCATCGGTTGTGGAAGTTTGAAGTTTCAAGTTCATTGATTTTTAGATTAAGGTATGATTCGTAGTTTTGATGTTGTTATGTGTGTTTTGAGGCCTCGAGTTAGTCCTTGTTATGTTATGGGACTTGTTGGTATGTTTGGACGTGGTCCCTAGGGGCTCGGGTGAGTTTCGGATAGGTTTGGGTTGTGTTGCGCTCGTGTTTTTATGTTTCGGCGTTGTTTCTTCAAGCATAAATGGTACTACATTAAGGAAATAAGCTCCAATTTTTGTTTTTATTGAAGCATTAGATCCATATCATAATTACAGAGTCATAGCAAAATGAATTGTCGAATTTGGACATCGTATGAGGAGTTTATGGTCATTTTACTATGAATTGACTTCGTATTTAAAAATCTGCACTATTTCCAAATATTGAAACCAACATATCTCCTTCAACATAAGTCAAATGGAGTAATTCAAGAGTCTGACTTGACTAGAATTTCACAAGGAATCCATTCTAAGCATCAAAAGCGAGTTTCGAGATCATTTGGCACAAAAAATGAGGCATATGAGTGTTAAAACGAGGGTTTTGTTCATTTCACATATTTTGAGTTGGGGAGCTCGGAATTGGGCAATTTTTGAGGTGATTTTCACCATATGAATTGGGGTATGTGTTCTCTACTCGGTTTTGGTTATATTCCATGAATCTATCTTGGATTTTAGCTTTTGGTTGATGAATTTTAAAGAGGAAATTGGGGGTTTTGGCTTAAAGTTTCGTAATATGAATTTTTGAGTTTTGAACATCGATTTGGAGTCGGAATTGAGTGAAACTCGTATGGTTGGACTTGCAATTGAATGGATTGTCAGATTTTGTGAGTTTATTGGGTTCCGAGGCGTGGGCCTAAGTGTGATTTTTAGCCGGACTTGGGATCTGATTTAGGATTCGATCTTAATCATTTGGAATTGTTTCCTTGGGCTTTATTTGATGTATTTGAGTTGCTTTTGGCTAGTTTGGAGCCATTCGGAGGTCACTACACGCGTGATGGCATTTTTGGAGCACTGCTTGGCTTGCTCAGTATTGTAATTGGGTTGTTCGAGGTAAGTGTCTTGCCTAACTTTGTTGAGTGAATTTTTCCTCCTATTTGACATTGTTTGGTACATGCGGGGGTGATACATATATAAGGTGATGCGCGTATATGTATGTGCCGGGGTTAATCATGCTCGGGGATAGATTATGTTATAATTGTGTCTTGTAGAACTACGTGACCTTCTTGATTCATGCCTCATTTGACTTTTAGATATTAAGAACATAGTATTAAATGTTAGAAATCAAGACTTAGCCTATTATAACTTGATCAAATTTGATGGGATTCTGAGAATACATTGATGTGTCTAATTCGGCCATCCATATGCTTAATCTTTAATATATTGTTACAATCGATCTTCTTGAGATACTAGATTTTATACTTTTGTTGTGGATCATTTGTGAGAATTGTGGAAGTATTTGAATAAAACAGTTCTTGATGGTTTATTTAACGATTATTGGCTTGGAAAGTTGTGATTGGGATTTCTTTGGATATCCATTAAAAACACTCCCCTTGATGTTATGTATGCTTCCTGCCTTGTTTGCCATTGATTTACATATGCTTGGTAATGAAGAGTGTATAGCACGAATGGTGATGTCGTGCCATTGTTTGTACATTATCATGTAAGGGAAAGTGTAAAGCACGAAGGGTGATGCCGTGCCATATTAATGAGAGTAAATACACGAAGGGTGATTCCGTGCCACGTTATGTGAGTGTAAAGTATGAAGGGTGATGTCGTGCCATGTTATGAGAGTGTAAAGCACGAAGGGTGATGTCGTTCCATTTTATCTATACTGTTATGCTTTTATATCATTGTAAGGTCATGGAACGATGGGTGTTTCCGTGCAGGCGAGGATGAAGGACATGCATTATGTTGTGATATCAGTTTTCCCGTGTATATGTTTGTGTCTTTACCTCGAGAGCGGTTATTGTCGCAATCTCATATCTGATGTGACTTGTTGCTATTGTTCTGTCATTTATCTCTATATCAATTGTTGTTGTGTCGCTCATATCTTTTGCTTATTTAACTTGCAAATTTTCTTGCTTTTATAATTACACTTATGTCGTATCTATTCTGTTGCACTTGGTACAAGTCTTTCACCATGCTAGTCATTCATGACTCTACTTGTTAACTTGTAAAGATCATGTTCTTCCTTCTTATTTGTTATATCTATACTTAGGCCTCCATCATGCTAGTTAGTTGAAGTTGATATTCCTTGTTTCCAATTGCTGTCATCACTCACATGCTTTCCGCCTAGTCTTTTAGTGTTGCCCACATGTATATCCTCGTTCATTATTGCTACTTGTGTATTTCCTACTTTGTAATTCCTATTATTAATATTTATGTCATCTGCTTGGTTCTGTTATACGTAAATTGGGTGAGGATGAGATAAAAGCACGAAGGGTGTTGCCGTGCAATTGAGTTGATATCTGAGTACATTCCTCATACTAGGAAAGTTAAGAATTGACGGTTGTGGTTTATTGGTTTCATTATAAGGAAAGGATTGGTCGAGGTATTTGAAGATGCCAGATTGTGATCTCTATTAACACTCGGTTATTGTTTTGCATATCTGTTTCATGTATTCATCTCTATTATATCGTAGTATAGTTCTATTGCCGATTTACGGTGCAGATTTTATCAAAAAGTATCTTTTAACAAACAAAAAAAAGCCTCGTCACTACTTCAACGAGGTTAGACAAAATACTTACCAGTACATGGGGTCGGTTGTACTGATACTACACTTCTGTACATTGCGGACAGATTTTTGGAGCGGAACTGCTGGTGATGTCGGGTGGTGACTCTGAAGATGCTCGTGCATTCCGGATATAGCTGCCACTTGTCCTTGGTAGCTTAGATTTTGGTAATCTGTTTATGTAAATTTCAAACAGATTGTGTAATTATTTGTACCAGCTTTGTAATTTCCAAGTCTTAGAAGCTCATGAGTCGTACTACCAGTTCTTGGGTCAATTTGTAAATGTTCAGCTAATTCTTTACTATTTTCCTATAATCTCTTTTGGATTATATTTTCTGTTAGTTGGCTTACCTAGCGAATCGAGTTAGGTGCCATCACGACTAGTGGTTTTTGGGTAGTGACAGGACCAATGGTTCTCCACTTTGTAAACTTACGGAATTAAAAATGTTTAAAAGTATATTCAAAGGACAAAAATAGATCTACCCTCGTAGATAAGGGACTATTTTGGGTAATAACTCAAAAAACTACATTTTAGAAACAACGAATTATTAGGGGTATTCATAAAAATCAGAAAAAATCGAACGAAACCGACCAAAAAATAGATACTTTTTAGGTTTGGTTTGGTTTGGTTTTGGTTTTGAATTTTAAAATCGATCAAATTTCGTTTGTTTTGGTTTTAATAAATAAAATAACCTAAAAAACCGAACCAAATCGACGGTAGAAATAGCTATTTAAATTTATTATTACACCTATATATATATGTATATTCTTATATTAAGTTTCTAAACTTTTATGATACATATAAGTTGTTTGTATGTTTAGACTAGTTCTTTGCTATTATAAATCTAATTCTTTGCTTTTACATTCTAGTTTGATTGGTACTTTATTTTGCTAAGTACAAGAATTTATTTCATGTTAAAAAATCGATTCTTAATTGAGTAATTAAATTATTCATCAATATTTGATTCAATTATCATCAATATATCTTAGTAAATGATAGATTTCTCAAAGAACAATTGGTTAGATAGTGTTACGTTGAGAATATAGTCGCCGGAATATGTGTTTGGTAGTGTATGTAGGGGCGGATCGACATTGGTTCAAGTGGGTTCAACTGAACCCGCTTCGCAAAAAATTATACTATTTTTTATAAATTATATTTCTAAGCAATAGAAAAGCATAAGAAAATAAACGTTGAACCCACTTCAAACAAGGTGAGGCATGGTACAGTGGTTGAAGCGGGTTCATCCAAGATGGAAGGTCTAGGCATCGAATTTGACTTAGTCCATCCATGCTCATTTCTTTGGGTTTTCCAAAAATCGGTATATTTAAAAGACCCATGTAGGCTACTTTAACGTTTCAATCTTTGAAAGATTTATTTAGACCCAATACCTAAGATACTATACCATTTATTTAAATGTATATATATTTATTTGTTTTGTATTTTATTTTTGTTAGAGTATTCTTCTATGTCAGTTTTACACTTTTTTATTTAGAATATTTTTTAAGTTCTAAAATTCTTATATTTTAAAACTATTAATGTAGTTTAGCGTATAGTTCTCTTCTATTTGTTGTCTGCAATAATTAGCTAGTTAAAATAAAAAATTTAGAGTTTGTTCACTTGTAAAATTTAATAAATAAGTCGAATTTAGTATTTTGGTATCGATTAAATTGATTTTTGTTAAATAAAATTATTAAAACTTTGTAAAGTTGAATAAACTGTTAAAGTTAAGAAAGTAAACAAAAAGCTGTTAAAACTTATCTTTATAGTATGTTTTTAAAGGGCAGCCTTAGAAAAGGAAAAAGGAAGGAAAAAAAGTTAGGGAGCAAATCTTTTTTTGGAAGTTTTGTTATGAACCCAAACAACAACGGAAGGTAAACTCCATTTGTTAAGCCTGATATTGCATATACTATCGGATGAAGTTGAGGATTTAATCTTTTTCTAAACCCGCTTGCATAAATTCCTGGGTTCGCCATTGAGTGTATGTCTCATATTTAAGAAAAAAATCGATAAATAACCGACAAAAATCGAATCTATTAAAAATCGACTTAATTGGTTCCAATATTTGAAGAACCGACTTACTTCGTTGGTTTCTTTTTAGGGAAAAATCGATCCAAACCGAACCATGAATGCCCCTTCCTGTTATGATAGGTGAGTTTCAAATATACACAACCAAAAATTCCCTCCTACTTTTCTCTAGATCTTAACTCCCATGGATATAACCATTACTACACCACTCATACCATCGGAACCACCGGACAAGAACAACCATATGGATGTAGAAAAAACAACACCACATTCCTACAAGGAAATGCTTCTTGATAAACCGGTAAGCCATCAAAATGACTACAATGTGGAAGATGCCTCCACAATCATCAAAGATGATAAAGGAAAAAATATTGAAGGCTCAATCGCACTTTCACAAGACGATAAGAAACGCCTTTGCTTCCCATGGCGTTACTCTGTAATCATAAAGGTCATTGGACGTAGAATGCCATACCAATATCTTCAGTCTAAACTAATTGACTTCTGGAAGCCATCCGAAAAGTTAATCTTGATTGACCTAGGATTGGACTTCTTCATTGTCAAATTTAGTCTAGAAAAAAATATGGCTAAAGCACTACACCTAGGACCATGGTTTGTCTCTGGGAACCTCCTCTCCCTTCGAAAATGGGAACCAAATTTTGTACCACAAGAAGCTACCCTCTCTACCATAGCTATCTGGATTTGTCTCCCACAACTCCCGAAAGAGTTCTACGACAAAGAAATTCTGGAGAAAGTTGGCAGGAAACTGGGCAAATGATTAAAAATTGACTCATGCACCTCCTCCACCCTGAGAGGAAGGTACACACGCATATGCATTCAAGTACCTTTAGAATCCCCAGTTGAAAACATCTGTAATAATTGGAGACCACAAACAAGCAGTGAGTTATGAGGGGGAGGGTACATTATGTACGACTTGCGGAAGAATTGGGCACATATCAAGAAACTGCAATTACAAAAAATACCATCACCCACACCACAGGAAACACCGTAAACCTCAGAAAAAATACGAAAAAGGGAGGAGAATGAATGGTAGACTGTAACCTTCCCAAGAAAGAAAAAACTGACCAACAAAAGGTGAAAGAGAGGAATAATGGAGCGGCAAACGACCAACACCATGCATCACCAGCACAACGGATCCAGGTAAACATGTTCGATGCTAATTTAGGTAAGTTCCTACAAACTAAAACTGTACAGTAAAATTCTAAGAGAAACAAACCCAGTCCAAAATTTTACAACAGGCCCAACGGCCCAATCAATAAACAAAGCCCCACCCCACATGCAACACCTTCCGCGAGGCCCCAGCCAAAAAATAACGCCAAACGCAAGGCAGGAATGGGGCCCAGGGAAACTGACATAAACTCCAGCCTCGACCCCCACATAGGCTCCCACAACGAGTCCTCTGATCTAGGCCCATCTCCTGATGCAAAAGATCTCAACCATGGGGTCTTGGACTGCAGGGCCAGCCACGTTCAACCAATTGGGGCCATCACCCAATTGGAGACTACCAGCCCAAAAAATAACCTTACCCACACACCTACTCATCCCATACCTTTCTCGCAGAGAAAGCCTCTAATGGGGAAAACTCAACAAACCCCATGAACACCCAAGTGCCTCATTTGAAAACCCACTCAATTTTAGGTTAAAAGACACTTGCCGTCCATTCCATAAGATAACACATTAATTCCAAATCCCACTCCCCAGATGCAATAACCACTGCCTCTTCCACTGATCATGATTTGACACCAAAGAGCACAATTACGAGTCACTCCATTAACTTAATCCCACCCATTACCCGAAGTAGCAAATGAAAAAAAACATAAAATGGAAAAAAACCAAATGCCACCCACCATTGTGACCTCAATGCCACTACCACCGGACCACCTCCCAGCATTATGGCTGGAGGTAGTGCTGCAGGGACAGGGGTTAGCCTACAATTTCACCCTGGGAAATCAACCAATGACCCTGTTTGTCCAAAATCCAGCACACTTGGCGAAAGTAACGGTGGAAGCACTGAACAAGTATTTGGCTGCCTTTGGTCCGGGCCTATAGCAGACAATGGCGAACAATGGAAACATACAGCCAAACACCGACCCACCAATGCTCAACAACATAATGTCCCAAACTTTCCAATCAATACCTTTCTTCCCAGATCCGGTAACAGAGGATCCAGCAGCGGAGTCGATCTTTGTGACCATCGAACCCCAAATCTACCAAGCCCCATCATTTTCTGCTCAACTAGGGAAGAGTACATCTACATCACTCTGCAACATCACAAGGGAAATCAACAAGGCCCTTAGATCTTCTGAAAAGGAAAAGCCCATCAGGAACGGAAGAAGCAACCTACGGCCCCCTTTGCACAGACTCTCTCCTACTGGACTCAGTTAGAGCGATAAAGTTCAGTGTGGATACCAGCGAAATGCTAGTGTTACTATGCCCCAAATCGATGACTAAATGTGGATTGATCCTGGTGTCTCACCAATCTCAAGAAGTGACCAAGCTGCTTCTCAACTTGACTCCAGTCATCAGCATGAGGGGAAAGACCCAAACGATTCCAAAGAGGACTCCACAAGGAATGGAGAAACCCCAGGAAAGCCAGTTCCCAACCATCCAACCACCCCTAATGAATTAAATCATATGGAATCTTAGGGGTGGAAACAACGCTGAGTTCGGAAGGCACTGCATGGATATGGTCAAGCTACCCAAGCCAGCAATGCTGGTACTACTAGAGACCAAGATGGTTGACCACAAAAAACTAGCAGAGGAAATGCAGTTTGACCTGATAATTCAATCTCCGGCTATTGGTCTATCTGGGGGGGGGGGGGAGATCGTTCTTATGTGGAAGGAAGATAGTGTTAGTATGGAAGAGGTTTCCACCACCCCTCAGGGTATCCATGCCATGGTAAAGGTACTCCCTAACCACACCTCTTGGTTATTTTCGGCCATCTATGCTAGTAATAATTTAGCTGAAAGAAAGCTTCTCTAGGAGAGCTTAGTTACTATCTCCAAAACCTCCATGAACAACTGGTTTGTGGGAGGGGACTTCAACGAAGTCTTGAAAGCTAGGGATAAATTTGGGGGCAACCTAATAAACCCTAGTTGCAGTAATATGTTCTGAAATTGCCTTAATGAATGCAAATTATTAGACCTAGGCTACAAAGGAAGTAAATTCACTTGGTCAAATAAGAGATAAAAATAGGCCTTCCCTGATTCTTGAAAGAATAGATAGGTATTTTGCCAATGAGAGTAGGATTTCACAGTACATTGAGTCTACTGTGATTCACCTACCTAAGTACCCACTCTGATCACTGCCCCATCCAAGTAATTCTAAAGGGGGACTCTTTCAATAATGGAACAAAACCTTTTAGGTTTGAATCTATGTGGACTAGCCACTCAACCTTTCCCAGCATCATAAATTAGGCTCCCCCCCCAATTCCACCCTAATCCAATCCACTGAGTCCTTTAATAAAATTGTGCCTCAGTGGAACAGAAACACCTTTGGCAATATATTCCACAAGAAAGGAAGAATCTTAGCCAGAATTGTAGGAATCCAAAAATCCCCCAATTATCAATTCAGCAACTACTTGTTAAACCTAGAAAGTAACCTGATACTGAGCTAGACTCAACCCTCAAAAATGAGGAGGATTTTTGGAAGCTCAAATCTAGGATTAACTGGCTCAATGATGTGGATGCCAACACTAGATTCTTCCACACTTCCACCCTCAATAGAAGAAGAAGAAAAATGATCCTTTCCCTCAAAGAAGAGAGTGAAAACTGGCTCTATGACCAAAAAGATATCAAGACATCCATAACGTCCTTCAAAAGCCTCTATACCTCCTCACACTCACAAGCTCTCTTTTCCACCACTAATCATCTGACCATGACCCATACCTTATCTGATTCTCAAAGGGATAGGTTGGATAGACCCTTTGAATTGGAAGAAATAAAAATGGCCATATTCTCCTTCAAGCCTTTCAAGGCCCCGGGTCCTGATGGCCTCCATCCCTTCATCTACCAAAAGTACTAGAGCATTGTAGGTAACTCTGTAGCTGACTTCTGCAAGCAATGCTCCACTACTAACTCCATGGATGAGACCATGACTCAAACTCTGATTTGTCTCATCCCAAAGTGCCCCCAAGCTTCCATGCTTAAAAACTTAAGACCTATTGGACTTTGTAACACAATCTACAAGTCCATCACTAAGATCATTGTAAATAGAATCAAGCCAATGCTTCCTATCATAATTGGCCTTAGCCAAGATAATTTCCTTTCAAATAAGAGGGCCTCTGACAATGCTATCATTGTACAAGAGTACATTACTCAATTTATGAAAATGAAAGAGAAGTAGGCTCACATGTTCCTTAAAATAGATCTGGAGAAAGCCTTTGACAGGTTGGAATGGTCCTTCATCAGGTACACCCTTCATGCCTTCAACTTTCCACCTGGGCTGACCAAGCCAATCATGTCTTGCATTAGCTCTTCTAGCATCTTAATCTTGGTAAATGGAGGTAAAACTTAAGCTTTCAAGCCCTCTAGAGGCATCAGACAAGGGGATCCCATATTCCCTTACCTTTTCATTCTGTGTATAGAGAAACTCTCCAGGTCAATCGAACAGGCAGTGCTGGACAACCAATGGTAACCTATAAGTATTAGCAGGTCTGGCCCAAAAAACTCCCATATTTTCTTTGTTGATGACCTTACACTATTTGCTAAGGCAAATGACAGGAACTGCACCACCATATTTTCTATCATGTAGTTCTTCAATGAGAACTCTAGACAAAAGATCAACCTCACTAAGTCCAGAGTACTCTTCTCCTCTAACACTACCCATGATACCATGGAATGTCTTCACTAATACTCTATCAATCCATGATATCACCTCCTTGGATAAATACCTTCGTTTTCCTATGTTCCATAAGAGAGCCACTAGCACAAACTTTCAGGTCATAATACACAATATGCAATCAAGCTGGCTGGCTAGAAGATACATTGTCTAAACACGACTGGTAGGATCATTCTGGCTAAGTCTTCCCTTATAGTATCCCTAACCATGTCATGAAATATATCAATTTGCCCACAAAAACCTCTAAGAAAATTGATAGAATTCAAAGGAATTTTATTTGGGGCACCACCCCAAATAGGAAAAAAATGCACCTAGTTAATTGAGACAGGGTTACTAAGAAGAAGGCCAATGGATGGCTAGGGCTCAAAAAATCAGAAGTAAAAAGCAAAGCAGCCCATGCAAATCTGGCCTGGAGGATTTACCACAACACCTCAAGCTTATGGGCTAGAGTTCTTATCTCTAAGCAGTATAATTGGAATCATACTCCTAGAACCCCTAGAACCCCTAAATCCTCTACATGGCAATGCATCCAAAAGGTTGGGATACATGTAGAAAGGCTAGCAAAAGGGTGGTCCACAAGGGAAACAGGGTATGCTTCGTGAATGATGCTTGGATTCCTAATCAGCCAGCCATTAAGGATATGGTAGAAGGCCTGTTTACCCAAAATGACATAACTGTCAAAGTAGACACTGTCTATAATTCAGGAAACTAGGATCTCCCCCCATCTCTACAGATCTGCCCCCAAGCATCTCTAACATGATCAATTCGGTCTTCATTCCTCCAAACCCTACCAAGGAAGACAAGCTAATCTGGGGTTTGACTCCTAGTGGGTCCTTCACCAGCAGCTCTGCCTACACTTTCCTTGGCAAAAGCAAGAACAATGTTGAAACTGAGGTGGAAGGGAACTTCAATTGGAT